CTCCTGGCTCATGGTGACCGTCCCTGGCCTTGCGGTCATGCCGCACCTTGATGCCGAGACATAGTCTGGGCTGCCCAGGTCCTTCATCTGAAGCGCTTGAAATGGCCTTCCTGAACGCGGCCATGTCGCTGTCGCTGTCGGCGAAGATGAGGAGGTCGTCCACGTAGACGGCAACCCACATCACTTTGCCACCCTTGCAGGTGCGGCGGTAGATGCAGGCGTCCGTGGCTGTGGCGACGAAGTCCTGCTCGCGCATCCAGGCGTCCAGCGTGTGGTTCCACAGGCGCGGGCTCTGCTTCAGCCCATACAGCCCCGCGCTTGAGGCGCAGCACCGTATTCGGCGAGAAGATGCCGTCGACGGCCGGTGGCTGGACGTAGATCTCGTGATCCACGGGCGCGTTGAGGAACGCCGTGTTGACGTCCATCTGTTGGATGTCCATGCCACGCGCGACGGCCATGGCGAGCATGGTGCGGATGGCTGCGATGGTAGCCGTCGGAGCAAAGGTGTCCGTGTAGTTGACACCGTGGACCTGGGAGTAGCCTTTGGCAACCCAGCGCGCCTTGTACTTGATCACCTTGCCCTGGTCATCGCGCTTCCTCCGAAAGATGACCATGCTGCGGAGCACCTTCTGGCCCTTGGGAAGGTCAGCGCGAGGCACGACGTCGTAGACGTCATTGGCCTGCATTGCCGCAAACTCGTCCAGGATGGCTTGGCGCCACTCCTCAGAGTCTGGCGAGGCAAGCGCCTCCTTGACGGTGGCTGGCTCAGCTGACGTGACAGCACTGCCAGCAGCGATGTCTGGTAGATGACCACCCACTGCTGATGTCTTCTCCCCCGTACCAGCAGCGCTGGTGGCAACGTGACACGTGGTGGTTGAGCCACCAGGGGTGTCCTTGTCGCCGAGGGTCTCGGACAACAGCAGCTGGTCCCAGACGGAGCCGCCAAGTGCGCGTGGCTGGAGCTGCGGCTCCCCCGCACGTGGTGCAGTGGGAGCGCCGGTGGCACTGTCCTCGGTCGAACGCTGAGCGGTCTTGTTGGCATGCGAAGCAGAGGCACCGCTGTCGTCCTGCTCTTGCTGCTGCTGAGAGGAGGCGGCGTCCTTGTTCTTGATGGCGCCGAAGCGAGCGTGGATGGTGTGGACAACGCGTCGCGTGTCCGGCATCCAGACGACGTGGGCCTGGTCCTCCTCGGCGAAGCCGACGTAGACGCCGACGCGTGAGCGTGGGTCAAGCTTGTGCCGCGTGCTGCTCTTCTCCACATGCACGTAGGCCGGCGAGCCGAAGACGCGCAGCAGGCTGACGTCGAAGGCGTGCCCAGTCAGGGCCTCGAACGGTGACTTGTCCTTGAGGCTCCTGCGTGGCGCGATGTTGTGCAGCAGCGTGGCGTGCTGCACGGCGAAGCCCCAGAACGGCTTGTCCAGGTCCGCAGCAAACAGCATCGTGCGCGCCGTCTCAAAGAGGGTGCGGAAGGTGCGCTCCGCGGATCCGTTCTTGGCCTGCGAGTGCGGTGGCGAGAAGCGCTGCTTGATGTCGAAGGCCAGGCACAGGTCGGTGAAGTCCTGGCTCTTGAAGACGGCGTCGCTGTCCGTCTGCAGCGTGGCGCCTCGGAGCGCGTTGATGACGTGACGGTCCTTGCGCAGCTGCTCCAGGGCCGCACCGACGTCGTTCTTGTGCCGGATGAGAAACGTCCAGGCGAAACGCGTGCAGTCGTCGATGAAGGTCAGCGCGTAGCGTGCACCTCGCAGCGACGTCTCCTCCAGCGGACCGGCGATGTCGGCGTAGAGCAGCTGGCATGGCCCAGCGCTACGTGGAGCAGACTGCTTTGGGATGGAGGCGCGCGTGCTCTTGCCAAGCGCACATGGTCCACAGGTGACGATGTGCTTGGAAGAGGCCTGGGCGATCTGCTGCCGGATGGCGTCAACGGCCGCGCTGCTGCGATGGCCTAGCACGTCGTGTGCAGAGGCGCCCTCGTCAGCATCCTCGGCTTCCTCATCGCTGCTGTGCACTAGCTCCCCCGCAAGCGCCGTGGCTTGTTGGGAGGTCGTGGCGCTGGCGTAGAGGAAGAGGTGGCCGGTGTCCTTGGACGGCAGCAGAGGCACACTCCATGTGGCAAACTGGATGCGGCTGTCGTCCGCAGCAATGACGATGGAAGCACCACGACGCGCACGAGTCACCAGGTTCAGCGCCAGAAGGTTGTACTTGATGTCGGGGACATGCAGCACGTTCTTCAGCGTGATGGTGCCTGGAACGCCGTCGGTGCCAGTCACGCGGAGCACGGCGTCGCCCTTGCCGATGACCGTGACGGCCTGGTTGTTGGCAACGGTGACGTGCTGCGTGACGGCGATGTAGTTGGTGAGGAGGGAGGCGTCGCTGGTGATGTGCGCCGTGGCACCGCTGTCAGCGAGCCAGAGCTGTTGTGACACTGGTCCGATGGCGTGGCCCTCCTCCTCGCCCTCGGGCTGCAGCATGAGGGCATCGTGGTGGATGGCGAAGGTCTCCACGCGCT